GCACTCAGCTACCCCCTCATGGTTCCTTCACTGCCATGGAAAGTGGTGTTCGGTCTCCATGAAGGTTTCAAGTACTCTGAATACCAGCTTCGGATGGATTTACGGACACAGTAGAAAAGAATGACCGTGGGTATATTTCAAAATGCCTTGTCTAAGTTTATCTCTGGAGAAGGAGATAAAAAGGGGGATTTGTAGAGTTATATTTGTATTTATTCATGTTAGCAAACTATGGATAAGCTTAAAATGAGAATAATTTGGGTAAAACTGTGAGCTGCATTTGGGGCCTGTTGACATGTGTTTTTGAGGACAAAGGAAGATGGGGGAAGGGGAGAGCATGTCCTGATTTGCATTCAACTTAGATCTAGCTGCAGTGTTTGTGATGTTAAGAGAGGTCCCTTGGGTTTCTCTGGTGCTTATCAATAGTAGCAGTTAAGTGAATACTGTTCAAACAATACCTGTGTTTGTGTTTTATATTGATTTCTCTGTTTTATCCTTTCATAAATGTAAGGACTACAAATGGCTATAAACATTCTGGGCTGGTTGGAGTAAACAGGGTTTTATGGCTCTGTGGGGGAGGTGTAGGTATGCAGGCCTTGAGACCTTTGGTTGTAAAGTGAGCCTGTTTGGTTTCCTGCTGCGTTGCGTCTCCCAATGAGATGACCTGAAAAGATGACCAGCTGACCTAACACCAAACCCCTCCTTCTTACTCTGGTATATCTCCGGTGGATCCCTGGCGTTCGGCCTCTTCTTCACATGCTGCGCTCGGGTGAAAGTAGCTCTGCAGTATGCGGACTAGAGCAGGAGTAAGCCGGCATTACTCCTTAAGCATTGCAATATAACTGTAATATATCATGTTGTATTGTAATGATTGTATTGCATTGTCATATTGCCATTAAAGTAGATTATTGTTAACGGTTACTTTGTAGATATGGATTCCTTCCTGTATTATAACCAGCTTCATAGGAACGCGCGGAGATTTGAAAAGCGGACCAGTTATCCCTTTAAATCTCCAACAACACACACACATGTTTTTGCAGTCTACAGCTTTACCCATTTCCCCTCCTCTTCTGCAGGAGCCTCTGCTGTGACTTGGCCTCTCTTGATGCAGAACAGAAAGTGGTTTATGTCTCTTATGTGGTTGACTTGTTGGGATGTAAAGAGGGGATTTCAATATCCCCACAATAGTTAACAGAGGCCCCTTGGTGTTTTACATAATTTACAAGTCAGGGAGAATGGAACGCGTCTCTTATTGTTCTCATTGATGGTTTCCCCTACACACACACACACACACACACACACACACACACACACACACACACACACACACACACACACACACACACACACGTCTTGCTCAGTGTGTGTGAAGGATGTAGAGTAGGTCCCGGTGTCACAGACCCTTGGTGGTCTGATTATAACACCTTATTAAACAGAGAGGCCCTAAAGTCACACAGGGGCCAATAAGAGGACTGCAGCATCAGTAGCTTTGAGGGGGCCTTTGTGTGTGTGTGTGTGTGTGTGTGTGTGTATGAGGGGTGTGTAATTGATTGGGGTCCGCCCAGTTGGGGGGGTGACTGCTTCGGTCTTGTCGCCCCGCCGTGGTGAAAAGGCCAGTTTGTGAGCAGCAGAGCAGCAGCACTACACCAGTGAGAGCATATGGACACGATGAGAACACAAGCTCATGAATATGAGTGTGTGTGTGTGTGTGTGTGTGTGTGTGTGTGTGTGACTGTAAGCATGCCTCCACCAGAACATATGGCCTGAATGAAACCTCATCCTCGTCATGAATAATGGAAAGAGAGGCAGGGAAAGGTTAGGGGGCTGGCTGCAAGAGAGCACCAAAAACACAACATTGTTGATGCTTTAGAACATTTGCAAAGAGAAGATTTGTTGCACTTCTCGATCGATAGATGAGGGGTCAGCAATGTGCCACTTGCGATGGTCAATCTCCCCTTGTACCCCTTTGGCTGTGATATCTGTCACTTTTCCCTGTTGGTGATTGTTTACTTCAAACCCTTGAGCTCTTTTCTAGGAGAAAAACAAAACCCATAAAACACCTCCAGCATCTTTCTTCAAAAACACTCATCTGTGTAGCCTCCGTTTCTCCTTCTGAGCCCCAAGAGTTTGCCCTACCCTCCCAAACACACATGCACCCGCACACACAGCGGCACACTGACACACACACACACACACACACACACACACACACACACACACACACACACACACACACACACACACACACACACACACACACACACACACACACACACACACACACACACACACACACACACACACAAAGCAGATACTTTGCGGCCGTTTACAGGGAACTGATGCGAGCACACATTTGACAACATTATAGTAAAGAAAATGTGAGGAAAACCAGGGTGGAGACGCACATCTGACCTGACAGCTCTGCCTGTCACTTCGCATGACAATTCAGCAATCCACTCACATAAGGAAAATGCTCCATGTGTGAGTTAAAACACTTCACAGGCTACATATGCTGCTCTGAAGCTTGGAATAAGGTGGGTGTATCCAAATATATTTTAAGTGATCTGTTTCTGTTTCTTTGGCCATACCAACAGCGGTGAATCCCATTTGTGGTGTTTAATCTCTTAGACAAATTATATTTACACAATTAAACCGTTGATTGTTTTATCCGCCATTCCTTGTGTTGCTTGATCAGTAGTTACCAAACTTTTTTTATCTGATATATCTCCCTGACTCTCTCTAGTCTAGTTGGAAAACAATTACTGTGCATCCAACTGGTTGATAGTCAATGCCAGATATAATAAAGTGAACTGTTTTCTGTGGAATAACTCTCTATGGAAGAAATATTCCCATAAATATGTTGACAGCATTGTCTTTCCTTACGACTGAACGGCTTACTTGAAACAAGTGGTGCTGATTATTAATTGTTGAGACAATTAAACAATCTCTGTCAACTAATCAAAACTATAAAATAAAAGTGGATCATGAGTTTATGATGATTTGTCAACAAATTTGACACCACAAACATAAATTCCATTCACCTTGATTGAATTTGACACACAACCTTAGTTAAACTTGAACTGTCTGCATGCTCAGATAGTAGAGGCAAATGAGGAAATCTGTTTGTTTTTGTATTTTGAATTAAGTGATTCTCTAAGTGAAGTGATGAGTATTAGCGGAGGTTCTGCTGAGCTCGTTTGTGGCCCTTGTGTGTGAGGAGGACGCAGGGATGGCCCTGTGTGAGGCTCTGTGCTGTGCGACGGGGCCATCAGAGCCATCAGCTCTGAGGACAAAAGAAGGGAATCTCTTCTGTCACAATATGGCTCGTGGCCTTTCAACTCCCCATCTGTTTGTGTGACGCTCACTCTGGAGAGCTGATGCAGAGCTGATACACACACACACACACACACACACACACACACACACACACACACACACACACACACACACACACACACACACACACACACACACACACACACACACACACACACACACACACACACACACACACACACACACACACACACACACACACACACACACACACACACACACACACACAGAGTAGAGAGCGATCAGATGCAAACTGGAGTGTGGCAGAAACTGGCAGCCCCGCTGATGGCCGTTTGCAGGTGCAGTGATGTAGGAGTAATGTGGGGAGAAAGCAGGACAAGCTCCTCCTGAGCTGATGGACAACAATCTGCGTGGAGAGGTCTGATCCGCGCTAGTTATCGCTGTGCTTTTTGCCACCTTGTTGGACTCTTTGTATTCCTGCTCTGCTGTGTGTCTTTCAGCTGCAGCATCTCACTTTCATAGAGATGTTCAATACTACTGTGGGGACTTCAGATCTGAGCCTGGCTTTTGTCAAAGAGAAATCCTTAAATCATTTGTCGTCTTTCATGTCTGATATGGCTATTATCACCAGTTCTGAACAACTATCGGCTTTGCAACAAAAGTGCATCTTTTACCCCGCTCGGAGAAGTGTCATTTTTATTTTCCTCAGTTAATGACTCGTGAAGGGAATTGTGGGGGTCATTGTTGAAACACAGCCCGTCAGAAAGTGTCTGACAAAGACTCTGGAAACTCCTGCTCTGACAGAGATTAATTGTTCTGCTTAGAAAAAAAAAAATCAAAGATGGAAAGAGAGGATCAAACCATTGAAGATGACCAGTTTTATAGACTCTAGATACAGTAGACACACAATCAATGCTACTGTTACATCGTTTGGATGAATCATGCCTTTCAAAGAGCAAATCAATACATTAAACAGCGATTTGGCCTCTGCTATGAGACGCCACAATGCAACCATTCACAGCGGAGCAGCTGTTTCACCATGACAACCAGTATAATCATGAAAACATGTCGGTGGGGTATGGGATGCCTTACACAGGGTCAAGGTTAGATAAGAAGAGCCGCTCTGCTCTCTGGTCCTGTCACACACAGTGATGTCATCATTTAGGACTTTTCAGAAGCAGCAGCAATGTAGCATTTTGATATTTTAAGCTAAAATAATACAACGTTTGACACGTTTTTATCATTATCACTTGAAAGTCATGAGTGATGTGTTATTTGGAAACAAAATAAAACCCAGTCAATTCTCATAGGCCAGTACAGAAGAGTACAGTGCTCCTTGTGCGTGAACAATGGCAGCTTTGTCTAAGAGAGCGATATCAGTGGCTCATTGACTCACTGTGTGTGTGTCAGTGTGTGTGTGGAGTATCCGCACTGAGCTGCTGTGTTGAAGATAGTGCATGTTGCTCAATGACACATGTTGTCTTTATGCAATGTGACAGACATGTAATGCAGATGCTCAATCGTCCATAAGATGGAAAACCCCACTTAAATCTGTACCAACCGGTTCATATTTAGGTGGTTGTTACCCACAGGGCAATCCGCAAAATGACACATAATTACCAAATTGGTTTTTAGTCATCATGCCTGATTTTGGCACATCAGATTTTTCTTGTAGTGTTTCAGGTCAAAATGCAGTTTTGGCTCACCTCGTCTCCAGACTGTGGTCTCATCAGAGATACTTGGTCGTAACCTCTCCTGAACAGACACCACACAGCATCTAGCTTTCCCTGAGAGGATCAAGAAAGAGGAAATAGTGTCATAGATTAATAATAAAAAACAAAACCTAAAAATACATGGTAATTGTAAAGGTAATGCTTAACAGACTAACCTTAATGGGCGAGTACCACTTCCTCGGCTCTTGCGGTCCACGTCGTGCTTTTCGTGGTTTGGGCTCATACGGTTCAAATTCCTGATCTGGCATCTTTATAACTGCATTTTTAGGTTTGTCCAACTTTGCCCCTTCCTCAGTCGAGCCCTTCTCCCCCCATCGCACCTAAGAAAGACTCATTAGAAGGTATATCCTTTTGAGTGTATGTGTGTTTGTCTGTGTGAGAATACATACCTCCATGCGTTTGATGCCACCCACTCCTCTTCCTCCATAGTAGGATGCATCCACTGTGGGCCACCTCTTTTTGGGCATCCCATCCTCATCGTCTGACTCCTGAGAGCGAGACGCAATTACATGAAACAGCACCTTATCTCCCAAACATACTAATATTGATATTAACAACATCACTACCCTATCAATAATGTCACTAATAAGTGGTTATAATGAGTGAAAAAACAAGTCTTACTGGCTCTGGAGGAGGAGGTGGTGGAGGTTCTTTGATCACCTGAAGGGAAAGGAAGAAATGCCATGAGGGAGCCAGATATATAATCAACAGTGGTGGGTAGAGTAAACAAAAACGGTTAAAAAACTCTTTAATTTATTATATCAACTGTCCTCAACAGTTAATAATAAATGTGAAGTGCAATTTTTATTTGCATTAAAGTGCCATATCAAGAAACAGTAAACCAAAAAAATACAAGTTACTATCTATTAAAAAACAAAACACTTTCACTGTCATTACTGAATCCTGAGAGGAGAGGCTTGGATGCAGTCTGCAGTGTAGGCGTGTGTGTTCCCTTTCTACCCACCACTGGTAATCAGTGTTGGGACTAACGCGGTACAAGTAACGCGTTACTGTAACGCCGTTATTTTTAACAGTAACTAGTACTCTAACGCATTGCTTTTACATTTCGGTAACTCAGTTACCGTTACTACATGGTGCGTTACTCCGTTAGTTTTTTTTATATAGTCAACAGCCAGGCGAACAGAGATGAGAACTGTACTTAAGTACAGTACTTGAGTAAATGTACTTAGATACTTCCTGTGTCACATGCAGAGACGGGCTGTGGGCGTGTTTGTGTTGTTTACTAACAAGACTATCATGGCGGCGGCGGAGCTCAAGTCTAGTTTCTCCACCTGGAGATATTCTCACTATTTCACTTTTGTCGAGCACAAAGAACGTTTTAGTTAAATGTATCCACCTGGAGATATTCTCACTATTTCACTTTTGTCGAGCACAAAGAACGTTTTAGTTAAATGTAAGTTGTGTCTTGGTTGGTCAAAGATCCTATCTACTGCCCAAACCAGTAATTCAAATATCTTAAAACATCTGCAAAACAACATGCTGGGACGAAGCTAGTAGCTAAGACCACAGAGACTCAGCCGACGCCACTCCACCTCCACCTAAGCAACAGCGGCTGGATTTTAACCGAGGGACTGTTATCCAGGGAAAAGTCGATAAAGCCATTGCACGGTATGTTGTAGAACACATGCAGGCTATTGCTACAGTGGAGTCACCCGCTTTCAGGGAGCTAGTTAGCATGATAGCATGTCCGGGCGGCACACGGCATATGGGACGGAACACTTTTTCCAACTACCTGGAGAAAGAATATACAAAAATGGAAAGCCAGCTAATATCGATGCAATCCAGATTGCATATAATGCATGTCAAGTTGATCAACAGATTGTATTATTCTCCAATGCAATAACAGTACTGAAATGAAGGCTATAAGGGCATTAATGGGAGCCCTTTTTACAAGTAACTAACGTAACTAAACGTTAATTTTCACAGTAACGCATTACTTTTGGGTGTAAGTAACTAGTAAAGTAACTGAGTTACTTTTGAAATGAAGTAACCAGTAATGGTAACTAGTTACTGGTTTTCAGTAACTAGCACAACACTGCTGGTAATTAAACAATGTTTGAAGTTTGCATACTTAAGTCTGAGGTTCTACTTACCAGAGTGCAGCAGAGTGGCCAGAACCACCACATCATCAGCAGAGCCAACAACAGGAACACCGCCGACAAGGACACCAGCACGATGGTGCCGTCAAACTGCACATAGAACAGAGTGACGGGAATTAGATTAAACTGGATTTACAGATGATGGACGAGAAAATGGTGAAAATTAAGTACTCACAGCCTCCTCTGATGACAGACACAACAGAGGAGAGCTCAGAGAGGAAGGAGAGAAGAAGAAGACTAAAGAACCAAAAGAAAATATAAGGGTGAAAGTTTATTCAAATAAGGCTGCATGCCAGAGGGAAATATCGTGTGTTTTTTTGTGATAGAAGTGAATCTGCACACAGGATGTACTCACACATTCAGTGGTAGTGATGTGGACAGAGCTGGTGATGTAGGAGAGGCCCTCATTCATGCTCACTTGCAGGTAGATCACCCTGGGAAAAAACAACAGCTTTTGACTGGTTGTATCGTCTGACTGTACAAGTTGCCCGGGGTGTCAAACACATTCCTCCATCTACTGTGTCCATACTTGCAGCCTTTAAAGCAAAAATCCGCATGCTGACATAGACACAAAACCAGAGTCTTTAAAAAGGTCAGGGAATTCTCCACCCTCAGAAGGAATCTTCTGTTTGGATCAGACTCAGAACTCTAATGTGGAAACCACAGACAGCTAAATTACTTGTTATTCTCCAGAATCCCGGCTGATATCTGCAGCTAATTGCAGGAAGACAAGCAGGGCATGGACAGGACACAGGAGTTAAAGTTTAGTCTTAGTTGGGCAGAGAGTGAGGTAGATGGAAGCAAAGACTATACGGGATTGAGGTATGAGCGGAATATGAAGTTTAGTAATTCAGGTGAAGGGTTTAAAAACAAAGATTATCACCATGAAACTTCCCGAGTAGATTATTTACATAAGGACAATCTTTTTTGTATTACAACTTCTCTTAAACTTTATATTTAAACATCCAAATAAGGCGTTTTTTATCCAACTCACTTTCTGTGATAAAGAAATCTATATCTCCAACTACATCCCCAAATATACAAAGTGTAGTAAATGAATATCCAAATGTGTTTTTAGATGTTGTCTTTTCACTAGTCACTAAGAGAAATCATGTGGTTGAAGCAAAAATAGCCAGAACGCCTGTAGTGTCTCCCTTGAGAAGAAAAACAAGACAAGAAGGTGGATACGCAGGCAGCTGGATTGTTGTTATAGGTTTGGGAAATAATTGAGAAAGGCTTCTTGTGCTGTTCTTATGGTTTTTAGGGGGGATAGACAAGGGGGGCATTGAGCTCTGGGTTTAGATTTGAGGAGGGGGGAGGTCACTGCAGGGGTGGGGAGGGAGAGCAGAGGGGAGGAAACAGAGTGGGGGATGGTAGGAGGAGGGCCTTTCCTGTTCTACATCCCTTCAGCACTGTCCCTCCCTTCTGAGACCCCTTCTTCCCTTCCTCAATCACTGACTCTGTTTTCGCCTCCTCACCCCTCCTGTATCCTCTCCATACCACTGTAGCTCGTCTCATAACTCATGCTGACACTGACTTCAGAGGGGGAAATTGGCGGTGCAGGTGCCACTCATCTTTTCTTCTACTTCTCCCCCCCCTTTCCCATTATATGGCCAGGCCTCCTTTCAGGCAGGCAGGGGACGCGGTGCTATCAGCTCCTCTCTGACAGATACATCTCAGCCCCTATCAATCATTAAACTGTCCACTATATATGTCTTTGCCCCCTGTGTGTGTGTGTGTGTGTGTGTGTGTGTGTGTGTGTGTGTGTGTGTGTGTGTGTGTGTGTGTGTGTGTGTGTGTGGTGTGTGTAGGCGTGTAGGCGGGGGAGCTGCATCCGGAAGGTTCCCAGTCAACATACATTTGTGTGACACAACGTCAATGACTTCATTATATGCGACAAGGCTTGGGTGGAGCAGGAGGTGAGTGAGGGTCTCTTTGGGGTTTTGGTAAGAGGTGATGCTGGGAGCTGGAGTTCCTCCGACTTCATGCAAAGACTTCACAACCCCAAAACAGGAAGCAGTTCACCTATAATGTGATCTGACATTTTTACGGGCAACAGCTTATGATTATTTTAGATCAAGTTTGTTCAATTACAATGGAAAATGTTGCTTTCTAATGTAAGAGTAGGCAATCTCTACACGTTTTTATCAACTTTGGTACTTAAAACAGATAAAGTAATTATAGTAGGTGACTTTAATATTCATGTTGACGATGATAAAGATAGCCTTACTGTTGCATTTAACTCTATATTAGATTCTGTTGGTTTCTGTCAGAGTGTAAATAAACCAACCCACTGCTATAATCACACTCTCGACCTTGTTCTGACTTATGGTATTGAAATTGAGCAACTATTAGTCGAACCGCATAATCCTGCTTTATCCGACCATTTCTTAGTAACTTTTGAAGTACTGTTACTAGACTACAAAGCATTAGTCAAAAGCTCCTGCAGCAGAAACCTATCTGTTAGTGCTATAGCCAAATTTAAGGAAGAGATTCCACCAATACTTATCTCGATAGCATGTCTGCATGTAGGGGAGGAAACTTATACAAAATGTACACCACCCCAAATTGATCATGTTGTTGATAGTGCTATAGATGCGCTGCGAATAAAATTAGACTCTGTTGCTCCTTTGAAAAAGAAGAAAATAAAACAACATAGATTAGCTCCATGGCATAATGCCAAAACCCGCAAAATAAAGCAAAAGTCGAGACAACTTGAAAGGATATGGCGTTCCACTAAACTTGAAGAATCTCGTTTAATTTGGCATATTACTCTCAATGAATATAAGAAAGCACTGCGTAAAGCGAGAGCAGCCTACTACTCTTCATTAATAGATGAGAATAAGAATAATGCAAGATTTATTTTCAGCACTGTAGCCAGGCTGACAGAGAGCCCAATAGCTCGATTGAGCCTTCTATTCCCATAGCACTCAGTAGTAATGATTTTATGTGCTTTTTTAACGATAAAATTGTTACTCTTAGAAACACAATTAATGACCTCTTGCCTTTGACCAGTATAGTGTTATCAACAGCTCCCGGAAACGTAAGTTCTAATATTACACTAGATAGTAAACTAGAATGCTTTTCAGCCATAAACCTTGAACAATTAAATTCAATGATTCTCTCTTCTAAACCATCAACGTGTATGTTAGACCCAATTCCAACTAAGCTGTTGAAGGAAGTTTTTCCATTAATTAGCACTTCTTTATTAAATATTATGAATATGTCTTTATTATCAGGCTATGTTCCACAATCATTCAAAGTAGCAGTGATAAAACCGCTTCTTAAAAAGCACAACCTCGATCCAGAGGTTTTAGCCAACTATAGACCTATTTCTAATCTTCCGTTCCTCTCAAAAATTCTTGAGAAAGCAGTTGCAAAACAGCTGTGTGATTACTTAAAAAACAATGATTTATTTGAAGATTTTCAGTCTGGCTTTAGAACACATCATAGCACAGAGACAACTCTGGTTAAAGTCAGAAATTACATTCTAATAGCCTCTGACAAGGGACTTGTCTCTATTCTTGTTTTGCTCGATCTCAGTGCTGCATTTGATACTATCGATCATGATATCTTATTGCAAAGACTAGAGCACTTAGTTGGCATACAGGGAACTGCTTTAGGCTGGTTTAGGTCCTATCTATCTGAACGCTCTCAGTTTGTACGTGTCAACGATTAATCTTCCATGCAAACCAAAGTTAGCCATGGAGTGCCACAGGGCTCAGTGCTCGGACCTATTTTGTTCACATTATATATGCTTCCGTTAGGCAATATTATAAGGAATCATTCTGTACATTTTCATTGTTATGCGGATGATACTCAACTATATTTATCAATCAAGCCTGATGAAATTAATCATCTAAATAAAATTCAAGACTGCCTCAAGGACTTAAAAAACGTGGATGACCTTAAACTTTTTGATGTTAAACACGACCAAAACTGAAGTTATTGTAGAATCTACGAAACAAATTATCTAAAGATATACTAACTATGGATGGCATTAATTTGGCCTCCAATGAGACTGTAAGGAATCTTGGTGTTATATTTTATCAGGATTTATCCTTTAACGCCCACATAAAATCAATTTCAAGGACCGCCTACTTCCATCTACGTAACATTGCAAAAATAAGGCATATCTTGCCTCAAAACGATGCAGAGAAACTAGTCCATGCATTTGTTACTTCAAGGCTGGATTATTGTAACTCCTTATTATCAGGGTGTACCAAGAAGTCAGTCAAGTCACTTCAGCTGATTCAAAATGCTGCAGCTCGTGTACTAACCAGAGTTAGGAAAAGGGACCACATTACTCCTGTTCTGGCTGCCTTACATTGGCTCCCTATAGAACACAGGATAGAATTTAAAATTCTTCTTCTCGCCTACAAAGCCCTTAATGGGCAGGCGCCATCTTACCTTAAATAACTCATTATACCCTACTGTCCTACTAGGGCATTGCGTTCCAAGAATGCAGGGTTGTTGGTTGTTCCTAGAGTCTCTAAAAGTACAATGGGAGCCAGAGCCTTTTCTTATCAAGCTCCACATTTGTGGAATCAGCTTCCAGTTTGTGTTTGGGCGACAGACACCCTATCCGTTTTTAAGAGTGCGCTTAAGACCTTCCTTTTTGATAAAGCTTATAGTTAGGGCTGATTAGATTCAGCCCCTAGTTTAGCTGATATAGGCTTAGTTTGTCGGGGGACATCTTACTGCTTCCTTCTCTCTGTCTATACCTGTGTACTCTCATGTTCCGATTAACCCAGCTTCCCCAAATGTCTTTCTTTTTGGTGTCTATATACGCTGGGATCCGGAGTCATGGATGATCCTGCGGTCCTGTGTCCTGCATCGCGAGCCCTGGAGTTGTGGCTGTGGTCCTGGATCATAGGTCCTGGATGGATATCCTCGTGGATTCATCTTCCTATTATACACACATGCATTTCCAAACATTTGGACTACCTATGTTGCAAATGTATTATATTTTCAATTTATACACGGTATCTATTGCACGTCTGTCCGTCCTGGGAGAGGGATCCCTCCTCTGTTGCTCTCCCTGAGGTTTCTCCCATTTTTCCCTTTAAACTGTGGGTTTTCTCCGGAGGTTTTCTCCGGAGGTTTTCTCCTTGTACGATGTGAGGGTCTAAGGACAGAGGGTGTTGTATTGTCATACTGATATTCTGTACAAACTGTGAAGTCCACTGAGACAAATGTAACATTTGTGATATTGGGCTATATAAATAAACATTGATTGATTGATTAGTTCCTTTCCTGATGTGTAGCACATTTCTAGGTACACACATCTAATTCGTTCCCCCTGTGTTTTATAAATGCCTTTCATTTACTACTAGTCACTTAATGATTCTGCCTCAGACAGATGCTGTGATTACTGGCTTCAGTAGTTAAGCTTTAAAGTGCATATTTTGCCTCAAAATTCAACTTATGAAAACACACTGTGTTTAATTCTGGGTAATTGTATTCACTGAGGAAGGCCATGAGACAATGTTGAAGGCCTAAGACAAATCATGCAAATGGGCCTTGTGCTCAAACCTAATTGTTTCTTTCTTTACAATGACAGATGTAAAAATAGTTAAAATATAAAATCTGATGATCTTGGGTGATGAGAAAGAGAATTTGGTTCAGCAGACTAAAACAGCGCTGTGTTGGCATACAGCAGTACACAAAGGGACTTGTTTATTATATCAAACACCAGTCCAGCCTGTACAGTGGCCCTCTCTCACTCACCTCACTTCACATTTCCATATCTATCTGTCAGTGTTGCACTGCAGCCCAGAACTCATGATCCGGCTGTTGGCCTCCTCTGGGCCCTTCAGCCATTCACAGCTGACTTCCTCTTTAGTGGCACTTAGGATGATAAGGCAGTGCTGACTCTGCTCTAATGGTTTTCTGTTACATGGAAGGACGCCTCCTTCAGGCACCAATGCAGTGAGTAATGATGATTTTTGCTCCTCTCTCAGGAGGAGCAGCACCCCCTGCAAGAAAACCCTACCAGCTACAACTTTTGCTGGATTGTAAATGAGGCAAATTGACTTTTTCCTTGTAGAAAAATCTCAGGAGTTAGCAATAACATTAACGCTCATAGCTACTTTGAGCACAGAGCCATCGTTACTGGCATTAATTTCACCTGTGCTTTTTCCACAAAGTAAAAACGTCTGCAGTGGAAACAGTCAATTGTTGCTGACTGTTTCTGATCCACTTATATCCTCTGATAGTTTCCCTTCCATTTCCATGCCACATCTGTGATAACATGCAGGTAAAAATAATACTGTTTGTGATTCTTAAATATGGCTGCTGCCACAGTGTGAAAACATGTAGTTTCTTCCCCATCTCTGAACAGTACTTCCCCTTCGAAGCAGTACTTTTCACAAGCAGACAAGACAAACTCAAATCACGCTACAAATCTGAGTGACAGCAACAAGACAGATGATGACTGGGAGGTGTCTGAGGCCGCGGGCCGGAGTGTATAATTATGTACGGGACTGAAGGCATCGGGGCCGGGGAGGCTGCTGGGCCTCGGTCCATCGCTACCCCGCAAGAAACTTCTGCTCTGAAAGACCAGGAGCCAAGCTGGAAGCCCTCAGAGGAAACTTTACACTGCCCCGCCGACTCCACTCACACTTTTGCTCTCCCAAAGTGTCAGACAGACATTGGGATACATCACACAACACCCAAACACACACACACAGTTGCGAAGGTCCTCTCCAGCAGGCTCTCATTAAGTCGTGTTCCTGGGCTCTACTCCTGTTGTCCCCTTGTGATTGGTGTCTGGCTTCGTTAGCTGTGACAAACACTGATTGATCACAGACACTCAATGACTTTGGCCCTAATTTGTTCAAGGACAGCATTCTTCTGTGTCCATACAAAACTTGCGTGCAGCTGGCAAATATCTGGGCTCAGAGCGTTACAGCTGAATGCGGAGAGCTTGGCAACTGGACTGATGGCTGATTATGAGTGTGGGGGGGCAGGGGCAGCCAAAAGACATGTGCAGCTTACCTCCCAACCTCATCCACGACAGGAGCAGGACAGAGCAGGAAGGTATCCTCTATGTCAGCTGGTCTCTCATCTGCACAGGGGGAGACAGGCACACTTTATATAGGAGAACATCTGCAGCCTAAACCTGGTTCTCACATTTTTCTTAAATGCACAAATCAAACCAGATGATACCTTAAAATGTAAGCTTGTGTACGGTTGCGTAACTTACCCACACTGTGTGTATCATTCAGTTTGAAGCTGCAGAGCACCTGGTCAGTGTTTCTGGCATGGAGGAAGCCATTTCCTCTCACCACCACCTGGAAACGCTCTGAGGGACACCAAAAAAAGGTAAGCACCATTATTAGCAATATCCACATTTACACACATAACCATAGTAAAACACATATTTTCAGCTGTATGTAAGAGAGGTTAAAGATACAAATCAGTTTCCTATTTTAGTTCAGTTAAGTAGAACAATATTGCTAGCAGGCATCTCCTTTCCCCAATGTGCTCAACTTCGGCAGGTGATACTTGTGCATGCCTCATTTCCGCTTGTTTATATTTGTGTGCTTGTGCGTGTATGTGTGGAAAGGCCATAATAAGCTCCAATGGTGCTAATGCTAATAGTGCTGCAATTCACAAATGTGTGCCATGCAGTTGCCAGAAGGTGTGTGTGCATATGTGTGTGTGTGTGTGTTGTTGACCTTTAGCTTCCCCCAGGCACTGTTAAAGCGCACTGACAGTGGCTTGCCGGCATATGCTGGAGTGTCTATGTGGCTGCTACCCAGCATATGTTAGAGAGCGGGGAAAAAACACTTGCTTAAAAACATGCCTGCAGGGCCCAGAACAGCACAGCACTGTCAAAGTAGGTCTGACCTTACCTATGGCACCATTAACACATGTCTGTATGCATATGTATGCAATGTAGTGTACATACTGTATGCGTATAGTGCCTTTGTGTTTTTCAGAGGAATGTGTAAGCATGTGCATGTCTTCATTATGCGTTTGAACGTGCACATGTTGGTATTTGTGTGTGTGTGTGGTCTCTGGCTGTGCACTCAGCTTTCCTCTAGCATTATACTGGCTAATAGAACTGAGGGTTTGCCACACCTTTAACATTTAAAGCTCAAGCGTGAAGATCACTGGATAAAAACATCATGTTGGTGTATATGTGACAGTATTTTCCTAAAGGTCACACTCACTGCTATGAAAAGTCATAAGTACAGACACACAAACTAGAGGTAGCACTGAGTGGAGAAAATAAAATCAATTTACCGGTCATCTCTACATATTTACAGATGCTGTAAAAATGTTTAAGAGTGCAGATTGGCTATTGGAGGAAATCCAGGAAGAAAAGTTTTGATGTGCACGGCAGATGGAAATACAGCTCTCAAAAGACTGGGATAAGTTGTATGTACTACATATACAATATGGTTATCAGATAATACATATTACTCAACTGAAAGCATTAGTTTGTGCAGAAAGTGTAGTTATCCAAACTCAGAAAGATAAAACCTTCAATAAAAGTGTGTGCTTATTTACAGCTGTTCAATGACTTGCAATGTGTCAATACTGCTCATGTCATTTCTTTAGCTAGACTCAGATAAGTATACACACAGGAACACACTAAGACCCCCATGACAGACAGCCAATATATATTTACTGTTAACCATGTTCCATGTCTCCTCCCTCCTCCTGCCCTAATTCTTCTAGAAAACACAACCACAACACTCATTAATTACAACAATAAAAATACATTATCATAAGTTTGATTGTATTTATTTCACATTAACTTATGGTTTATGTGGTTTGCAGTGTCCCACTTAATTGGAGGGTTTAACACAAATTATTATTATTGCTCAGTGCAGTGGCTGCTTCAGCTGTCACACCCCCCCCCCCCCCCCCCCTTCACGCAATGTTACCATCAAAAAGCATAAGCTGCACTGAGACAGGGCGGATGTGCACACCAGTGGTCTTTTTTTCAGCTAATTTTAAATGTAATCTTAGTTATTATCATATTAAGTGAACGAAATTCAGTTTTCTGGACTAAAATCTTTTTTGGACAATTTAGTCTCACCATAAGCAAAGAAAAAAGCAACTATGTTAGTACACTTTCAGCCAATGTTGAAATATTACACATTTTTAAATCATGAGCTTATATTTAACATTTAAGTCAATGAAGTCTAGCTAAAATGTCCCCTTGTTTCTTTAACCCAAGCCCGTTGTTATGTTTACTTTAAGTGTTGAGTGTTGAGAAATAAACAGATTTTACTCCAATGACAACTGTCTTATTGCAGACTGATAATGGTCCCACTATTTTAGAAAGTAAAATTTGATATATAAAATGGCTTTATTCACCAGGAACAGTGTTGTACATTGCACTATGTTGACATGTAACAGTTTAACATCTACGATTAAATACTTATTTATCCTGAGTCATTGTGTGTTGTCATTGATGGGCACACAATGAAAATGTCTCAATCTGAACATCTTCTACACACACCCTGACACACCGAGGCTTGATGGGCTAAAAGGTCAGTGCTGTCAGACACATGGTGGGCAGGGACTGGTGGTGCCCTGCTGACATGTACAACACATGCTCTGCCCTCTCCTCTCCTCTGTGGCCACATGTTCATTTACATCTACACCTGAGCGTCTGACAGGAATTACATTTGTATGAATGTGTGTCTGTGTGCAACTACGCACACGTTCATGCATGTGTGTTTCGTGTGCGTGGAGAATATGGGCTACGGCTTGTCCGAACGGCGGCTCTTCAATCACGTTAGTGCGACGGGACAGTGAAGGGCAGGGAGGGGCGAAGGAGGGCAAAACAACAGGGAGGAAAGGGTCAGACGTTAATGAAAGCAGCAATCTCTGCTGTCATGTTAGATCTGAGGCCCAACTCTCAGTGTCCTCTCAGTGTGTGTGTGTGTGTGTGTGTGTGTGTGTGTGTGTGTGTGTGTGTGTGTGTGTGTGTGTGTGTGTGTGAGAGAGTGGGGGGGGGGGGAGAATCATTGCTGTCATGTCTGATAGTGGGGCCCAACGTTCACTGTCCGGTCTGATGGCCTGTTTGCAGGCAGCTCGGTCTGGTCACTTCAAATCAATGTGAGGGATATGTATGTATGTAAGTGTGTGTGTGTGTGTGTGTGTGTGTGTGTGTGTGTGTGTGTGTGTGTGTGTGTGTGTGTGTGAGCTGACTAAAGAACATCTTAACATGTGTGTGCGTTTGTGTAAAGCATGTCTGTTGTGTGAATATGCGAGGAGACGGAGAGAGAGACTGTCACAATACCTATGCAATACGTCAGTATGTAAGTACATGTAAATGCATCACTGTGGAAGGATGAGGGAAGAAGGTTACATTCAAACCTCTTGGGAAATAATAGCAAACTCCTTCTAAATTGTGCTTGACAATAAGATTATATCACATTCTACTGCAAGAACAAGCTTTGAGCGAGGGACAGAAGTTATTTTTTTTACAGAAACGTAAAGCATAAGATATAAGCATTGGAAGTCTAAAATAAGAGCTGTAAAATATTCAAACACATCATGTCACAACAAAGGGTTTGCCTTTTGCCGCGCACTATAAGCATCAGCACATTAACATCTTTGTCCTTCATTAATTAGTCCAGAATCAGGCCTTGGTTTAAGTGGGTCTTTGGTTTCTTAGTTCACTGACCATTAGACTGTTCATCAATCGAATAATAAATGAGGCTGTTGGAGGATATTTGGGCACATGTCGAGTGACACACTGAGGCTCTGGCAAAAGGCCAGTAATTATCATGGGGGCAACTCTAATATACCTTCCTCATTTTTGTCCTTTCAAGGCAATATTTTCATTGCTCTAAAATAATTTATCCTCCTATCTTCCCCCAATACTTTCCCTTCTTCATATCCCCTCTAATGGATGCTAATCTCCTTTGGTTGTCCTGGTAGCACTGCCGCAAATGCACTCTCTTAAGTGAGTCCTAATAAGGCCATGTCAGAGCTCATTCATCCTGCTGGCTACACATAACAGCTCTCTCTCCCCGTCCCTCTCACTTCCTGAAAATGTAGTCCAGACCTCTATGGTCCAGACCTTCTTATTATACATCCATGGTCCAGACGCATGAGAGCTGGACATGGAAGAATAGTTAAGAAGCAGGACAGGGTTGAAACCGCCTTTTACATATACAATGTGGCAAACTAGGCCAGAGAAGCAGCCATGCTTAAAGATTCACGGCTAATTCCTCTGACCAACACCCCCCCCCCCCCCCCCCTCCTCTTTTTTGCACACACGCTGTGCTGAAGCGGATATGCTAATTTCCCCCGGCCGTGAATGACAATACGCTCTCTGTCACTCCGCGGTCACAAGCGTCCATGCGATAACTCAACCTCATGTTCCCCTCCAGAGGATGACTGTCACCTGACACAAACACACACCGTGACCACCTTCTGTCTTGATAAGGAGGGGAAGCCCCCTGCCGCTCTTACCTCCTGCGCACACACTGGACGGCTCGGCCGCTAGAATCTCAATGCAGGACTTCTTAATGATCTGAGAGATAAGACAAAAGGAACAAACAAGTCACAACCATTTACTCACATAGATTGTGTGTATGTCTCTGTATGTCAAAGAGTCTGTATGCTTGGGGTTATTATGTGTCATACCGAGTCAATAATTCCCCTCAGGGCTTGGAAGCCTCCCGTTACAGGGAACACATGTTCCACAGTGTCTGCAATAGTGGCAAGCTAGAAGAACATACAGACACAGAAAGAACAATTATTTTAAGTAATTTGCTTTTTCATGTATTTGCTAAATGTACTATCCTTTTGTGGATGCTACCTGAGTCTTGTTGAATTCTTTGACCCCTACACAGTAAACAATGGCTCCCATTGACCTGGCCCTCTGTGCCTGCAAACAAAGGACAAATAAACACAAAAAAGTGATTTTGAAGAGATTCTGGATTTTTTTAGGGGGGACTTTCTCAGTCCCCACAGTAGTAAATGACACAATTGTACGTACAATTTACAATTACAAATAAGCACTGAATTCATAAATGATGTCCAAAAATGTGTTTGGGATTTCACATTGTTATGGACCTTTGATCACCAAATAAAAATTGGTGCCAGTAAACACAAAGTTGCCACCTTCAGTCACAAGAGCCTCAAGTGTGGAAACATTAGTTTTAAAGTCCCAACAAGTGACTTTAATCTAAAAATATTTTCAATAAAAGTGTTTCCTCCTCAAACCCCTTTACTAAATAACACATCTTACCTCTCGCTGAGCTGTATCAAACTGCCAGTCATTTAGTTCTCCATCGGTCAGAGCGATAATCACGCTGGCTGTCCCTGCAAGACACAACATATTCATGTTCTCTGAAACAATGCACTTAATGTAATCTAATGCAAAAAGCATAATTATACAAGGCTTACCTTGCTTCTCTTGATGAATCTGTGCATTAGCCTGCAATTGCAAAGAAGGCGTTTGTTAAGTGAGTTCAGTTAAATTGACTAAGATAGAAATTAAAAGAAGAAATACTTTATTTTTACATCGCATTAACCATTATCCTACACCGGATTGGTCTTTGCTTTAGGTTTTTAAACATGGATCTCATTTGGACATTTTCATTTCATTTAATAATTTATTTGGCAGGGACAATGCACAGTGATGAACACTTAAAACATTAAAAATGTGTCAAGCGTAACAGTGCCAGATTTAGCTTTGAGCTCATTTCCATCTGCAGTCCCTCACGTAAAACATTTAAGAAAATTACATTTTACAAACATAGCATAAACAAAATACATGATATGCAAAAAGTGCAAAAGAGCAAGAGCAGCATATACACGTATTTACCACATGGCAGTACAATATAGCAGCTACGACATATAAAGTGCAAGAGAAGATAAAAGAGCTACTTAAAGTGCAAGAGGAGATACCCCTGTATTAAAGTGCATTTAGCGGTGATTGCACGTCTGTTTGTTTCTCAACCATTCTTTGAGTTGAACTTTAAAACTATTGAGAGTGGGACAATTCCGTATCTCAGTTGGGAGGCTATTCCAGAAAGAGCTGCCTTTAATGGAGAGTACATTTTGTCCAAAAGTGGTCCATACGGTGGACCTCACAGTCTCCAGTTTCTGACCTAGTGCAGCGTCCAGTGTGTTTTCTGTGGATGAATTCCCCTAAGGGAGGGGGGGCCAGTCCATGTAAACATTTATAAATAAAACACATACTTTTAAAAGACATGTTAAATCTTGAACCACCAAAACATGTTTCTGAAGGACCAAACAAATTAAACTCGACCCAGGTAGAAATGTGGAATTATACTTAATTTGAATGCCTCACTTAAAATACAGTTTCACAAAGCTCAGCATTTTCAAGAAGCAGCAAGTCATGATGCTGATGATCTGAGCCACTCCTCATACTAATCAAATGGGCCCCAGTACCAGCTGCCAGGCTCTATTAATCCTCAATGGATATTTTCTAGAACAAAACCTTATAGTGAAAGCTGGTGGAGCACATGTTGGGTTCTCAGTCTCATTCTTACCATCTCCAAGCCTAAGTTCATAAATGTGTCTCCTCCAGGGACAACTCTACTCAGATCTTGTAAGCCTCCGTTGATGGCCTCCCTGTAGAGAAAACCGACAAAAATATATCGTAAGGAATCAGCTTTTAGCAAAAGACATTAACACAGATGTATTATACAGTTAGGAGGAGAAAGGTAGTAGTAATACTGGATGAATTTGTGTGCAAGTACATTTTTATTTGCGAGAAAATATGTTGGGAAAATAGAGAAGTTTGGAAAACCCAAGATAAACACAACAAGAGAGGGCATGTTCAATTCTGGGGAAGTGTAGTGCAGGGAGGGAAAAACCCAGACACGGTCCAGGTGTTATTCAGATGCGGGCCTCACCTGTCCTCCGTCAGTTTTAGGATGATTTTTCCGTGTGAGGAGAAGACGATGAAGGACATTCGCAGCATGGGGCTGCAAACACACAGTGGTTTTAAATTAACACGAGCAAAAACAGAAAACATCCAGATTCTTTAAATTACCAATACTGCCTGTACCTGATGAACTTCTTCGCCAGCTGCTCCACAAAAGAGTAAATCTCTATCCAGTGATGCTTCACACTTCCAGATCTGTAAAACAAGAACATGAATGTATCAGGGATAATGGGATGTTGCCTGGGATGACTCATTATTATTAACCACATCAAATACAATTGTATTGAACTGAACGCAGGATAAAGATTTGTGGCCAAACTTTTGAATAGGTTGCAATTAAATCTGGGACAGACATTCACGTTCCCATCATATTGATCTGTTATACCTTTGATGATCCCTAAACCTAGGTCAACATTTTGAATTGATAAAATTGTTGGTTTATATCCAAAACATCCAAACAAACAACAACCCCATCACTGCAGCTGTCCTTTTGTGTCACACTAAAACATAATGTTAGCAATGTCAAGTATTTTAGCATGCTAACCTTAGCATTTAGTTCCCAGAGCCACAATAGACTGCTGCTAACACTTAAGTAAGAAAAGGTCACATAAAACCTCATCTATACCTTATCAAACTTGTTAAGCCACCCATTATCTTCACAACAGAGGCGAAACCCATAAGTAAAAAGTAAAATTTGCTCATCACTATTCATTTGTAAAATGTATAATAAGGCCATCGCTTCACTTAAGTTTAGATTGGAAGGGATTTAACGTCCTTCAACTCTGTTTTATCTGCATTCGAGGACTTTGCTCTCCGTCACATTCCATTAGTTCGGACAGTAACCTGTGAGCGGTGAGAGCTGCTGGTTAGCCGCTACATGCTGCTGTGTATACGACAGTGTCCTTAATGAAGCCCAGTCCCAGGGGGCTGCTAATGGGGGCTAATTGCTGCTGGGCCAGAGGGTTGAGGTTAGACAGGGACAGATGTAGCAGTCCGCCTCTAGCAGGGACCATGTAGCAAGCAGCTGGGCTGTGGGTCTGTGTGTTGGGTATCTGTGTTTATGTGACTGTGCATGTGTGTGTGTGAGTGTGAGGGGGAACAGATGGTCCTAGCGAGCACAGCCAGTCTGACAACAGGTTGGCAGTCCGCAGAGTGAAAAGGCTGCGACATGAACAACAGGAGTAAAACCCAGCAGGGGGTAAATGTGAGTGTGAGTGTCAGACTGTATATGACGAGGGTCTATTGAAGGATGCAACATCAAACACAGTGTGTGTGTGTGTGTGTGTGTGTGTGTGTGTGTGTGTGTGTTGTGTGTGTAACAGGGTCATAAACAGAGAGAGAGTCTGAGCTGCTTAGACTCAGGATGGTTCTTTTGTACTGCTCATTTAACCAGTCGCTTCCTGCTCCACTTATCCTTTTCCCTACAAGGGAGGGCAGGATAAAAGCCTTAATCCGGGCAGAGTCTCCTGGGGGAATAGCTCTCCCTCTTTAAAAAAAAAAATCCTTTATCTTAAGAGTCACTGAGTTTAGCAATACACAGACACAACAAAAGCTCAGTTTCCATCCAGTGAAAGTATGTTCTTATGTTAGAAAGTGATTTTTCATTGGTTAAATCAGAAAATCTGAATAATTATTTGAATAACTTTTCACTTATAAAAACAATCCCTCCTAATTATATGTGTGAAACTATTACTTCTAAATAATACACTATCAAACTAATTCAGCAAATAGTCGGCTCCTTTCTTCCTGCATTCCTGAGTTTGAATAATTTAAGGAAAGATCTCATTTTGTCTAAAAAAGAAATCAGTCAAAAGAAATCTCTGTTCAAAACGTATCCATAAAAAACACCTAGAATTATTTGTGTGGGAAACCAGATAGGGAGGAAAAGTGCAGCCTGGTACTTAGTGTGGATCAGACATGGATTGTAGGAATGTTTTCTAATATTTATTATGTTTCTGGTGGAGCACACACATTCTCTACCCAGCATATCTCTTAGCCTTCTGGACAGTAAAGCCGAAGCAAAACATGTGGGTGAGACAAACAGTGAATATGTGAAGATCAGTGTAGACACGTAAAAACATCTCTTATACAAGATGTTGCTCTGTTCTCCACCACTAGATTAGGTCACTGTGTGGCATTTAGGATCTGGAAAACAGCAAAAAAAGCGGTGCCAACTTGGCGAGAAAGAGCATAATCTTCCTGAAGGCTTGCTGAAGCATGCAGGTCCAGACAGTCAAACAAACAGCAGCGTACCAGAGGCTTGGCCATGCGTGACATGCCACACTCCCCAGGCTCCACTGAAACTTTCAGAAGCAAAGGGTAAAGACTGAAGAGCCAATGACATGATGTTTGCCCTGGACATACGAAAGATCATCAATGTGTTGAAACCAAGGTAAAATGTCACTCAACGAGTCCTGCTATGCATCATAGGGTACCCAAGGACTGTACATTCAAACATCTAACACACAGATTATCAGCTTCACTGTAAATCAATGCTCTCAGTCTCATTTTGTGATTATAAGCTGTTATTCTTTTAAAGAGAAAGGACAACAAATTCAACCTTGTATTTTTTCCTTGCCACTCTATCTATCTCTCTCTCTGTTCACTTACAGCATGTTATGACATGTCTGATGGCTTTGTGTCCACAAGCTTATTCTCACCTTGCAACTCAAGCCAAGATAGGACAAACATGTCAATTATAACGTCTACGCAGCTATAAACGGCAGCACAGTCTGCAGAGAGCTCACACGCAGACAATTACTGGAATGGTCATGCTTACACGGCCCAAAAACATGCCATTATGAGAGGTCAGTTTGAAGGTGCTGTGAGGTGGCTGGACATGCATCCCTCTTGCCTTACACGTAGTCATAAGTGTCTATTGAGCTCTAGGCTCTAAAAGTGTATATAAATGGCCTCAAAGATATTCAAAGACTGACATTAGGTTAGTCTGAGTCAGAATAAATAGTATATGCAGGCTCAGGGGCGTATTGGTGGCCTATAGGTCTACAAGGTGTTAGGTAATTGCTAGGTCTCTTATTCTGATCAAGCCGTGGACCTTTGACATCCTCTCAGGCTTCATTTATTCTCAACCTATACTGACTAATATTTAAAAAAAACTAGCCCAAGTAATACTTTATTTTAGTTCAGATATTCTGCAGCATATTTCTGCAGGTTTAGGTGGTTGAATTGTCTATTGTCACCCTGGAAAATTAAAAAGCCAATTAAAAAGAAAAAGCAAGGATTTTTGCTGTTTGCAATCCAAACATTGTTATTACAACTGACTATGGCTTCATAAAGTAATAATAAATAATGTTATAATCAGTGACAATAATGCTTTACAACTTATGCCTTAGAAATTGGTGCCATGTCATTTTGGTGTTTTTGTTCCATTAAAAACGACAACCTAAGTAGATCTGAATAAATCTAACTCTCTGCAGGAGACAATAAAGAATGGGCTCAGCTTCTGGTGACTACATTTCCTTAACAGGATACAATCGGCCCACAGTGAAGGGATAGAAGAATAGTGTTAGGATCACAGGCTGCTCCGCTGTGGGGCCGCCGCTGCTGCAGCTGTGTCCGCAGGCGTCATCAGCCTGAAACCCTATCCATCCTGCTCGCCCTGCCCACATCCCGTGGGTAAAAGCTAGATCTGTTTTCCTCTCCACTTTGAACCGGACGAAAATAAATGAAAAAAAAGCATTCCCCTATGAGAGAAATGTTCTCCCAACTTAAAGTACAATGCTATAGGCTGCATGCGAAAATACACTAAAACATAAAAACACTGAGGGTAAAATAGTTTTGGACGAGCTCTCCGTGATTCATGAAACACCAAACCGCTATACTTTATAAACAGATTATGTGACACAAAAACAAATTGATAAAAACTTAACTTCCCAGCTCACACTTGTAGATTACTTTTCACGAGTAGCATACCGTTACAACAACAGACTGAATCTGACGGGTGCGCTCCGCGTTTCCAAACCACTGGGCGGTTGCATGGCAATGTGCAGCGATGGGAAAGTAACAAAGCCATAAATATTATCGGACACTCACTTGTCCAGGACAAAATAGAGGTCGAAGGCGCCCTGACAGGACCTCTCATCCTCCTCCTCCTCCTCCTCCTGTTGCTCTCCCTGCAGCTCTCCTTTCACCGAGACACCGAGGAAGAAAATTCCCAGCAAAGCCCAGGCGAGGAACATGCGAGTCTGTGTCCTCGCCATCTTTCCCGGTTACTGTTGACTGGTCCGACACTGTGACAACTAAAGAGCTTCACATTTCTTATCATCTGTTTCTGAATCGACTGTGTGTCTGTAACCCGGTGTTTTTCTCGGTGGTCCGTCCTGTTGGGTTGGCATGCATTCAGTCCACAGGAGTGCTGTTCAGTTTAAGCCGGCCTCTCTTTCAGCTCAGAAAAAAAAAATCACTGAAGCAGGGCAGGATGGAGGAGAGGAGCGACACCCGAGGAGAAATACAAAACTCCACTTTAACAGAGATTTGTTTTGGGCAGATCTACTCACTGGGTGGGATTAGCCAAAAATACATTTGAGAATGAGACAAAAAAAACAAAAACAACCATTCCTAAAAAAACTGCCCTGTTTGTTTTTGTTTGTTCACGAGCAATCAGAAGACCAACACCATCAAATAACATTCAATACATTTGTGTTCACGTCCTTTAATGCAGAAATTACTGAATTTTGCTTTGGCTTATAATTCCAGGTTGTTTTAATTGTATAAAAAATGCTGGTTAAAATGTGTGATATTTAATACCTTTAGTTTTGAATAATCCATAATTATTGTTGTTCTTTAAGCATTGAAATGCATCTCTTGTCTCTCTCTATGTTGAAGGAATTTTGCCCTCAAATGAAAAACAGAGGAACTGAAAAGACAATTTAATTATGGGGCCATAATGCAAATGGGAGCATGCCAGGATGTGCTGTGAAAGGTTAACAGTGTTTTCCAAAGACCATCATCAAATTTCACGACAAAATGTAATGTGAAGAAATGTTTTCAGACATTAATATGATATATTTTGTACAATAGCCTCTAAAGTGTAAATGTAGGCTAACCGGACCCGAGGAGTCCACACGAAAGCTTTTATGTGTTGCCACTTTCTCATTACAGAAAGTTGGCTCGTTTACCACCAGGACATTTACCCAAACCAAAGCTTTGATGCAGAATAATCCATTAAATGCTCATTAGACAGAAACATTTAGTTAATGAATTATGCATTTGCCCAGTGGCAAACCCAGACCACCGTGCATCATGTCAAATAGTTGCCAGTTTTACAATTTCCAATTGCCCACATTAGCCAGGACAACTTCTACCGTGTCTAACTCGTCTGTAGCTTGACATAATTTGTTTCCAGTGAAGTGAAAAACAAACCTCTCTGAATCCCACATAGCGTGATAGACTATAGTCTGAATATCTGTTGTGCAAAGTACAATTAGAGGAGTGACTGACATTTAAACCATAAGCACAATAGGATATAGCTTGAGGCTTATATTTTAATGATTTCCATCTGACTAACTGCAGGCTGGCTCAGGGTTTATGACATTTGGGGCGTAGACATTTGTATTTTAAAAACCTAGGGAACATTATATTTTCAACGTTTTACACTGAAGGTAAACATGTCACTCTGCCTAATTGGTGTGCACACATATCCAAATCAGCCAGCTCCATGCATGCTATATCTGATACAAAACAAATTGATGAAATCATTGAATTTCCAGAGACAATACATCTCTTCTTCACTGAAAGGACCGTAAATCAGACAAGGCCAGGGAAAATTAGCCAAGGTCTAAATTCAAGGCGTGTGCGCGCGTGCGTGAGCGCGCACGTGTTTACATCAATGCGCCACGCTTCAGTGCGCTTTCTGGAGGGAATAAGTGGGAGTGGGAGAGGAGAGGGACGACAGTACGGAGGAAGATTCAGTCGGATAAGTAACTCGCCACCAAGAAACGAGAGGACATCGTTACCAAGGTCCACTGCACCTGCTGCCTCTTGCTGACACGGCACCAACATCATCCTCAATGTCCAGCGGGTAAGTCCGTATTCAACACAATGAATCCACTTCTGTTATAATCTCAGGGATATGCGATCTTTCTCTCAAGTGTCATTCATTTATAACCACATTGGCATTTTCAGATTGGCACCAGTTCATTCTGTCATGACGATGCACTGTCAACGATTTGAACCTCTCAAGAATATTGACCAGAGAGGGAATAACTCAATAGTCACATAATCTCTGTGCATTAATGTTGTTGATACATCAGGAAAACGAACATTGAACTTATCTTGCGCACAGAGGAGGCAGTTGGGCACTACGGCAGATGGGTAGACAAAAGGAGAAACCGAGTGAAAAACTGAGACAAAGGATGTTAGAACTCATTTTGCATCAACACTGGCTGCGCCTGCTTCACAGTTGGGACCCTTCATTTGAGCAGAAAAAAAAATGAATACATTATCTCAATCTTTTTTTTCTCCAAATGTTCATGCAAGACCATCCAGCTTGGTTAGAGCATCTGAATCCAACTCGTCTTGGCATGTCAGCCCACTGCCACCTATATTTGAATGTATCCCAATTGTTTTCTCAATATTTTGTTAAACTTAAACACACAATTAAAAATGTGTGTTGTTATTAAAGTTATAGTCGAATTGTATTAAAGTCAGTGGTTAACCTTGGTTTTAAAATAATAACTCAAATATTTTAAGGATGTGTATCTGATCATAAACGTATTATATTGTATTTTTGATTGATATATTTTGTATTTCATTACAGTTTAATGATGGATCACTCTTTCCTACCTCGCTCCATCTGGACCGGTGAGAGTAAATTCCTGCAGCATCCAGCGGATCTCTACACCACTGTGGTCGTTACGCGCAGCATCCCTGCAGGCACGTGCTTTGGTCCATGTGTGCTCCAAAACACTTTCTACGACACGATCGCCTTCATAGCGCAGAAATCCTGCGACAAGAGAGCTAAATCCTATATGTTCAGGGTGAGTTGTGATCAGACTTGTATTGTCTTTTTGAAAATATGTGCTTGATTTATGGTGAATGAATTACACTTGCACCGGATTTGTTTGTTCCTTATTTTCATTTGGACTGAATTTATTTCATGCAGCCATACCTTATATTTTATGGGACTACATTTCAACGCATTACATCTGCAATTTGTGTTTGCCATGAAGCGTTTGTCTTTGGGTATTATATGCAAAGGGACCAAAAACATGTCAATTGCTGCCAAAAACTGTGAGGTGAACAATATACTTCAAAGTTATATTAAGGAATGTCATGCTCGTAATAAAGATAGAAATTAAAATGTGGGGGTTCGAGTAACATATTGATGTTTCTGTCAACAGTTGGACCCTGAGGCCATGCGTAATTCCGTGCTGGTGCTGTCCTGGCTGCGGCTCGTGCAGGCTGCGCGCAATGGCCAGGAGCAGAACACCGAGGCCTTTCTGAAGGCTGGTCAGCTGTATGTGCGGACCATCCGGGACATCCGGCCGGAAGAAGAGCTGCTTGTGTGGTACGACCAGGAGCTGTCTCACCTGCTGGGCTTCACTGACATGTCCCGAGGATCGAGTGAAGGTGAGGCAGAGCTTTGTGAGGCGAATAAGAGGTCAACATACTCGGATTGACCTGTGATTTAATTATAAAGCCACTCTAGGCATCGTATTCATTCTCTAATTACCATGTTTGATTAATGTAAGGATGTCATTGCTAACTAAATGGTAAATAATATGAATATATCGGTATATTGAACACATTGTGTGTTTTTGTCTTTCTTTCAGAGTTCAAATGTGCAAGATGTAACCAGGTCTTCAATAACGAGTTTCCGTTCCTGGCTCATTGCCGATTCCTGTGCACTCAAGTCAAGACAGACACATGGAGCCGCGAGATTTACGAGCAAAAGCATGTGGAAATTAGGAAACAACGCCGAGTAACAGATTTCCACAACATCGCCAGAGATTTGGAACACAAAAAATCCTCTAGCAGAAACGAGGATGCAGAGATTTTTCCCAAGAGAAGGAAATACGAGGAAACACTTTATCCCAAAGGGAGGAAAACGGTTCTTTTGGAAAAGACAAATATTTCAAACGATGACAATATAACACCACTGATTAAGGGATACGATCAGGCAGGAGGAGACGAATCTTCCTCTGCTGGGAAGCTGAAGGCTGATAAGATTAAACCAGATCATTTGGGATGTAAGAATGGTGCCTTTACGCATGTCAGATATATGGACGCACGGACTGAGGCAGGGGAGAGCTCTGGTTTGAACTCAAGCAGCAGTAGTGCATTTTCTCTGGTCCTGTCCAACAATCAGGGACATCAGAGAAGCGCTTTCTGTAAACCGAGTAAAATAAATTCCCCTATTGACCCCCAGGTGCATCTCAGCAGCGCCTCAACAGCCCCCTCTAGCCACGTAGAGGAGATGACAGATGCCTTCAACTCCAGAAATGTTTTGGGATACAACAATCTGATGGCAGCTAACATCATGAGCACTGACTTACAGACTGTTCACTCCCCGGTGGCTGTAAACAACGCGTTCCATTACGCACCGGAGCACTGGTCTAGGAACATTGGCGTGCAGCTGCAGACCGCATCTTCTCTCACGGTCCTTCCACCGACTTTCACCTCATTCGGCGTGTCGGTGCAAAACTGGTGCGCAAAATGTAACCTCTCATTCCGCATGACCTCTGACCTCGTGTTCCATATGCGCTCTCACCACAAGAAGGAGTTCGCAGCGGAGTCCCACGTGAGGAGGAGCAGGGAAGAGAAACTCACCTGCCCAATCTGCCATGAGTACTTCCGTGAACGGCACCACCTGTCTAGACACATGACTTCTCATAACTGAGTCAAGAAGGGACACTGACACTTTAATTTATTCTATTAGCAATGCGTATTTAACAGGTTTAGACTCCAGATTCACGGTGAGACTTTGGTATAAGAGTGAATGTAGGTAGCTGTAAAAAATATAGCAAAACCAACACGTGGCCACCACAGCCTGTCCACTAGATGACGATAGAGGTACGTGTACGCTGATCTCACTGCAGTTTCTTGTATGTCCTTTAGCTCTGCTGTGTTGATGATTATTTTGTGCCTTATGGAACTCTGGAGGGAAGAAAGACTGAAATATCTCGAGGACAGCTCATGATTGTCACAAATCCTCTTATTTATCAGCATTTCTCTGCTCTGATTTGTACAAGAGATGTGGATTAAGTGTGTTTGCACATTTGTTTTGAAATCTAAAATGATGAAAATGAAAAAAAACGTGTTGAGTACTTTGTTCCACCAACATGTTGGGGGTCACTTTGTGTCTGCTCCAACAGATGGCGACAGGAGACCTACTTTTCTCTATCTCCCTGTAGATTAGTACATTTAAAGAATATCTATCAGATGTGTTTACAATGTGGTTGAAGTGTCCTGAAGGATACCTATGTCATTCATAGAAAGAAAGATTAGTGTATGAACCAATTGTAGGGAATTCACATATTTTGTTCTTGCTCTGCTCTCATGCACGACTTGACAAGACTGTCATTCAAAATGCAATACCTGCATGCCATTTTAGATGTTTCACCAACATCAGTGCAAAGAATACATGGCTGTTTTCCAGGCTTATCGTTCATCTACAGACCTGGATGGAATCCACGTAAGCCTTTGAATTTCTTATTTTATGTTACTCCACCCACAGCGAGTGGCCTCGGTCCCATTCAGTACAGGCTGCAGACAGATGGACATAAATAGCCGTCTCTGTTGCAGGTAAATGAGGCGGCAAGAAGGCATGAAGTTCATGGGAAAGTCAAGCCTCAGACCTTTTCAGTCACTCTGTAATGGGATGTAAACCTTCCAACACTGCTGCTATCTACTTTATTTGAGAATAATTTATAGAGTTTATCCTCCAGTTTCTTCAAGCCACAAACCATTTTGCTGTTTTTTCTTTCTTAGAATGATACTTACTCAAAACATGAAAGCAACACCCTGCAAAAATGTGTCATTTGAGACCAAATACACCAAAACATGCTATAGTCTTAGACCAAATGATTTGCTTCCAGAATGAAAATGGATTTCTTGGCTTAGTAAAAGTTCTGAATGTTTTCTGGAAACTAAAAGCATTTATTTGTTTCACTTTCTAAAGGAAAAAACTGATATTCAAATGAAATACCCAGCGGCCCACATGATTAAATGGGTGATTAAGAAGCACAGTGTCACTCTATTAAAGTTATGTCTGTAATGAACAGCACTATTAGTTTTCTGAGCTCAGAAACCATGTGAGGAAAGAGCCATTTCAGCCCTGACACAGAAAATCCTTTGTTGTCTAATAATGGCGGAATAGCTCTGCTTTAATTGAACAGTCATCAAGTGGAAACACAAATATTGTTCTTGGTTCCCCCACTTGCCTCGTTTGGTTTTGGCTTTTGGGCATATTGGGCTCTGAACGTGAGCCTAGACTACTGTGGTTTTCTCGGCTGGATTGACCATTGTGAGCACTCTCCTGTGACTGTGATTGTGGTTGACATGAGGTTCACTTTGTAAAAGCAGACTGTGGCTCTGGACCGTAAGAGGGATCAGTCTGGAAATCAGGAAAAAAATCTATATACCGATTATAAATGGGCCAGCCTATTCTAAAACATTTATTAATGCAAACATGATTGATAATAAGCATCATCATCATCATCATCATCATCATCATCATCATCATCATCATCATCATCATCATCATCATCATCATCATCATCATCATCATCATCATCATCATCATCATCATCATCATCATCATCATCATCATCATCATCATCATCATCATCATCATCATCATCATCATCATAATTCGCTAAAAGGTCTACAGCTGAACATTTCCACTTGTTCGAAATGGAGAAAACTGAATTGTGTATTTAGTCATTCGACATATGTATCTCCCCTTATCAGTAACATGATGCTACACAAAAAACCACAATTTTTACCAAGCTAATAGGATAATATAACATTTTTATTTTATACTTATTGGTTTACTATATAAAGTATTCACCTTGTATTAAAGTTGTCATGTTGTTTTTGGTAGAACATTAAATAAAACATCTTTAAGTCCAGATGAAAAAAGGTCCCGAAAGTGATCTAAACTAATTACAAATGGTTGTTAATTAACTTTTTTCTTTATCATGGAAACCCACCAAATCATAGATGTCTGGCATGCTGCTTGGTGATTATTTAGTTAATCCAAATGTTGAATCATTGCCATATATGTAGTGATCTGTTTTCAGAACAATAACGGGGTGTTCTGGGGCCTCATTTATAACGCCGTGCGTAGGATTCACGTGGGAAGGTTGCTTACGTAGTAGAAATCCAAAAAATAGGTACAGAAATTTTCCGAAATTTTCCGATTCACCAAACATTGCGTACCGGCGAGGAAAGTGCGTACAGCACTTCCTACGCCGGTTTCCCTTTATAAATCACAATCGACTCGAAATGCGGTGCAGCTTTTGCGGGCTTCACGTAACGCCCATATTTGCCTATAAATAGTCAAAGAAACGCCCATTCATTCATTCATTTTGACTGACTTTATGAAGAAGATAGCAGGAAATGACGACAGAACAGCTAAAAAAGACATCTCACACCGTGTCAGATTTTAGTTATTTTGGGGAGGTCGAGATAAATCATATTGTTTGGTGGATGCCGTTTGAACCAGAGTAGCAGCATGGAGGTCGGATCGTCACCAAAATAAATAAATAAGTGGTCCGAAAAAGGTTCATGACAAAAAAAATACACATAGCCTTCCTCAGGCAGTGTGTTTGTACCGGGGACAGGAGACACCCCCTTGATGAGAAACTATAAGAAATGATCGGGGAATCCCTCCGGAGTGGATCATGACGACTGGATCTGAATTATGTTTTCGTATTTGGTGGTTTGTGTCCCAGCTGTCGATCAGCTGTGCGCAGCGTCTCCACTGCAGCCTGTGCATCTCAACACTAATGTGTTGTGTTATATCAGCTGTACAATTTACCACATATGGTGTTCTTAGTTTCCATACCTCCTGTGTTTTACGAGCGACTTATCAAGTCTTAGCAAACGGCATAAAACATGATTAAACATGGTAGTATATAAAACCATGCTCGTACAACCTATAGAAATGCAAAACCGCATCATTTATGAGAAAACATTTCATAACATTAACAGAACATATTCGAGGTGGTTTTAAATAACATATCCGTATTTATTTATTTATCCAAGTTATGTTTTTGTGTGCACTGAGAAGTCTCAAACAGGCGTTTGTTTAATCATTTTAAGATTGGCTTTAATCAATGTTTGAAAATGAATTATTCATATAAATGAGAGGTAACATTTTATTTATGGTATTATTTCCACATATTTCTCTCCATTCTTCCTTCTGCCAACGGTGTCGCAGTTTCTCGTCTCTCTCGTTTTGAGAGACAGCAAGCGCATTTCGTGGCATCTGCAGGCAGTGGCAAGTACTTCCGGCATATGCCACAGAGGCCGCTACTCTGTGGTATCTGTGGCAAGTACTTCCGGCATATGCCACAGATGCCACAACTTGCCGAGGCATCTGCCGCTGCTCAACGGGAGTTGCCACAAGATGCCAGAGTAAGAGAAGGTTTACTGTAGCTGCCACTCGCCTTCCGTGGCAAATGCAGCTATTTAAACCCGTATTTATCGTGTAAAATGTCGCTGTTTAGGCATGACTTTATCGAACTGATCTGTACACAGGACTGATGATCTGTACACAGGGTTGGGTTGTAACGGAATACATGTAACGGCGTTACGTAATCAGAATACAAAAATCAAGTAGCCCAACTGTATTCAGCTCGAGTTACATTTGAAAAACAACTAATCCGAATACAGTTACTTTCGTAAACCTGAAGTGAATACATTTTGGAATACTTATTGGAATTATTGGTGGAAAAGTTTCCTCACAAAATGTATCATAATATTCATTACCGGCAGAACTGTGTGCACAGCGCAGCAGCATGTCTGTGAGGCCCCGCCCCCGCACGCAGATGAGAGAGAGATCTCTTTTTAAATATATTGAAAGTTAGAAACGGAGATGGTTCGATAAAACGTGCAAGATAACGTTTATGTAGCATTTCTTTATTGTTGAAATGATGACATTTCATAACGGGATACAAACAAAGTGAATGGCCTGCTGCTGCTGAAGGCATGGGGCAAATATAACTGTCCTTTGCCTAATTTATAAAGTAAACCTTAGCATCTCACTAGCAGTGGCAACTGCAATCAGTTACAGCTGCCCTAAGTCTGTAGCCAAGTCTAATAACACCAGTGTACACGTTGCTGTGTCAATACAGATATTTATTTGTTAATTATTTGTCTACTAGTCATAATACACCTGGTTTATCGTAGCAAGCAGTGGAAACTCCCCTCAAGAAGCGACAATTGCCAAGGGCGTTGCAACCCTCACTCGTCAATATTTCATCATAAATATAGCACGTTTGTTTATTTTAGCAAACCATGCTCCAAGTAAAATTGAATAGAAATGATAATGTATAATCTTTTTGAAAAATAGAGATCGCACATCAGTCCTGTGTACAGATCAGTTCGATAAAGTCATGCCTAAACAGCGACATTTTACACGATAAATACGGGTTTAAATAGCTGCATTTGCCACGGAAGGCGAGTGGCAGCTACAGTAAACCTTCTCTTACTCTGGCATCTTGTGGCAACTCCCGTTGAGCAGCGGCAGATGCCTCGGCAAGTTGTGGCATCTGTGGCATATGCCGGAAGTACTTGCCACAGATACCACAGAGTAGTGGCATCTGTGGCATATGCCGGAAGTACTTGCCACAGATGCCACAGAGTAGTGGCATCTGTGGCATATGCCGGAAGTACTTGCCACAGATGCCACGGAGTAGTGCCCTCTGTGGCAGATGCCGGAAGTACTTGCCACTGCCTGCAGATGCCACGAAATGAGCCAGGCCCTACTGCCCGTTTTTGTGCTTAGTGCGTACGCATGGGTTAGAGTTTGCGTGGAGGACCGCATGTTTTCCCGTCAAGTTAGTATTTTATAAATCGCAAACATTGCGTAGAAACTGGCGTACGCCATTTTTTGAGCGTATATCCCTTTATAAATGAGGCCCCTGGTGTCACAAAAGCCACAATAAAAAGCCTCTGATTCTTCGCTGTAAGAACGTAAAAGCCAACAACATACAAATAGGATGATTACTTTTTATAGTCTAATGGACAAAGCAGTACAGACATGAGGGATGGCACAATTTGTTAGGA